GGAAGGCAGGAAACAACTTGGACAGGTCGCCAGTCCATTGCAGGGTAACCTTTATTAATGTGAGCAAAAATGTCTTTGAAAAAATGTCTTTGTTGCTTGAGCTTACACTGAAAATATGAGAAAAAATCTACATTTTCACTGAAATATAATCAATGAAAATGAAAAAGAAGAAGCCCACCAATAATTCTAGTAATCACTGTAATGCAACAGGTCTTTCCTAAACTTAATCATTAAAATGTCTTACAGTAATCCTCCTATTAATTAACAACCATTTCACAATCTGTTTTTGTTTAAAGGTCAGATTTTTATTACGATACCTGAACAACAGCACAGCTGTGACAGCCTCACAAATGGAAAAAAAGGAAAAAAATTCCTAAAAAGTACTGCCTGTGGTTTGAATATTTCTTTTAAGCTTCTGAAATGCACTGTTTATGTGTTCCACGCCTCAAGTCAAACAGATCCACCTCAGATGCTCAAGAACATCCTGTGGAGCAGAGTTTGTCCTTTCAGCAAGTAACCGTGGCAGGAGCACAATATCCCGTGGAGCACCTCTCTCACTCTGCTCTTTCATTTGGCTTGGTGACTGCAAGGGGGAGGAGGCCTTCACGAACCGGTGCCCTGTGTGAGGGATGGCTCTTACCTAAACCTGTTTGGCTTGGCATGGTGGAACAGGAAAAAGTGGTTGTGTCTCAAGCCAGCCAAGAGTGGACCTTGAAACACGAACCTGCGCTCTCTCCCCTTGCTGAAGGCCGCCTGGATCAGTGGGAAGATATGAGTTATGATACGTCATAGCTGATAAACCACAGGGAACCGTGCAGCATTTTCGCTGGCAACCTCTGCTGGAGAGGTGTCACATAAATAGCCATTCATCACATTCATAATGTTATTAACGTGCCTAATGTGACGTTGATTGAGCGTGCAATGGAGTTTTAGGGGGTGACGTATTCAATTTGAGGCTGCAGATTTTGGGCTTGTTATGATAACTGTCTTTTTACAAGAAATGACTGATTCTGAATGGAGTTATGGGTCTTCCTAGACATTCTTTTACAAATCATTTGAGAGCAAAAACAAAAAAGTTCACGTCTGCATGATCCTGAGAGTTGTGGTGGTGGAGGAGGAGATGTCCAGCTGAGACGTGGCAGCACAGAGAGGGGAGAGGTTGCACAGCAAGTGTGATGTGTGAGGGACAGGTCACAGATAGGCTGAGAAGGTCACAGTAAACAAGTTTATTTCCATTATTCTGTAGGGACTGAGCTAAATACAGAGGGTTATTCAGAGCAAATGACACCGGAATCTTTCCATGCGCTGCTCCATGCAGTAGTAAAAAGTGGTGCGTGATCCAAAGACAGCTGCAATCTAGCAGCAAAAAATCTCTCTCTCCCTCTCTCTCTCTCTCTCTCTCTCTCTCTCTCTCCCTCTTCTATATGTTCCTCTTATTTTGTCAGGTGCAGAGATTGTGTCCCTTCACTTATCTCAAGTCCCTGCCTGTCAGAATAACTGCTGCACTAACTCTGTCACTGCTCTTCTATGCTTGTCTTTTCTTCTGAAATACATTTCCATTGTGTATAAAGGCAAATTGCTTTCCAGCACATTCTGATTTCCTCAACTGAAAAAGGTATCAAAGGAAATATGCTGCTTTTGGCAAGATGAGGTCCAATATCCAGCTTTTAGGAGCAGCTGGAATGCTCACATAAGCACTAGAGTCCTAAAGCTTTGAATAGAACTAGGAGGAATATTTAAAACCTGCCAAAAAAGTGAGCCAGTCACTTTAAGATGATGAAGAATGAGACTTTTCTTGGCCGAATTTAAGTTCCACTCATGCTTTTATTTCCATATCCATATTCCTTTAAATCTATTTTACTCCTCTTTATGAGTTGGTGTCTACAATCAGATGATTTGGGTTCACTAACATTGCTGATATGTCATTTCCAAGCTTTAAAGCTGTTCAGCTCCATTCCTTTAAACATCATTACTCTGTTTCTCAGATTCCAGATGCCAGAATCGACCCCACAGGTTGGCGTTTTCCAATGAGCTCATTATTAAGAGAACCAGAACTGTTTAAAAATATTTAGAGATACAAATTAATCAATTTCCTGACGTACATTTAGAAAAAAAAAAAAACAGAAAATGGGCAGCTGTGTTCTGCCACAATGCAACCGAATATCCCACCATCCGGTACCAATCTCTTTATTTATTTGAATGAGGAGAATTGGTGCCGATGCTGAGCCAGAAGAAACGGAGCCCTCGGTGTAATACCCATCAGAGCTGTCAGGGACGTTTGGCGATGTCATCAATCACAGCATGAGAAGGACTTAGTGATGCCACTGGAACATTTCAGTGTAAATCATCAGCTTCCCTTAAATGGAAGTGTCCTGTTTCTGTTTGTAACAGGCCAACTTATCCATTTCATTACTCTGCATCAAATTAAACCAGGATAAACACTCCTTTATTTCTTAATGATGACGAAACCAGTCAACACTCAGCACTTACTTTCTGAATTTTGCTCATTATTATTATTATTATTATTATTATTATTATTATTATTATTATTATTATCGCCGCATGCACTGTTTCGAAGTTAAAATAAACTAATAAAGTACACCGAGCAATTGAACTAGTTTTACTCGAATCAAAAAATTACTTTGATTCAAAGAATCGTTCGTTCATAGCATTTATTTAGTTTGAATAAAACGAGTTAATGTACTAGTTACCACATGAAGTATTTTAAGTTGATCTGACGAGCCATTTTTCAAATTTAATTTCATTATTGATTGTCAAGCGTCTTTTGTCATGGTAAAATTGAGAATGAAATAAAAACCATTACCTCTATTATTACTACTAGAGGTTATTATGAATAGGGGTAATAATATCCCTATTATTGCCTCCGTCACTGCTGAAAATCTACACATTAACCGTGAAAAAAATATACCTAACTTTTAAGTTTTGTCCTACAAAATAATTCTCGACTGAATCTGATTAGTGGGGTTTATTCAAGCCCTGATGGGTTTGCTAAGCAGACTGAGTACACAGGTCTGAATTCAAATGTGTTATGTAGATCATCTCACACAGGGTTCGGACGCAGGCAGGCGGTGTGTGGCCCTAAAATCGACTCGATGTAATGTTTTTCACACAAATGCGCGTGCTGAGGTCTGTTTGTCCAGCCGTGAGTCGGGCTGCAGCTGCGGGGGCCGCCCTGCGCGCCTTGAACTGATCTTTCATAACTGAGAGCTGTGATGAAAATAAAGCCCCAATGCTGTTGTGTGTTTATAAACAACATTGATGACCGATCAGATTTATTATCGCGCTGACCACTCCGAGACGAGCACGAGACCTCCGCGCTTAGTGATCACACTTCAGCGCAGACACATCCTGAGCACAGACCGCTGTAACGTGTTTCAGCAGACACGAGATTAACGTGTAGAGACAGATTTATGGGCCTGTACACTTTTAAAACGATGGTTCTTTAACGGTTCTTTGGTAAAGGCAATGGTTCTATAGAGAGCCATTTCATGCTTAAACGGTTCTTTGCATAGTAATGTGGTTCTTTAGATTAAAAGAGAATGTGTTGTCTATGGTTCTACATAGAACATTTTTGAAAATGGTTCTATATAACATTAAAAAGGGTTCAGCTGGTTTTACGATGTCAAACTTGTAACAATAGCAGAACCCTTTTTGGTGCTGAATAGAAACATCTACAACACGTTCTCCATCAATTTAAAGAACCATTTCACAATGCAAAGAACCATTTAAGCCTGAAATGGTTCTATATAGAACTCATGGCTCTAAACAAACTACTAAAGAACCCTTGAGGAACCTTTATTTTTAGGAGGTTAGAGCAGCGGTAATACGGGGCTTTACTGCAGTTTTTAACGCAGTGTTGCAGCACGAAGGGGTTTAAGATCAGCCTGATCCAGGTGGATTTTCTGAAGAGCGTCAATTTCACAAATTAAACCTGTTTCATTAATTGTTAATTTTGCCCAGCCTGAACTATACGTAATATATTAAAATATTACATGTTTCCGATCTGGAGCCGTTTAAAATAATCACAAAAAGGGGCTAAGACGTAACAGGATCAGTATTTGCCTAGGCGTGATATTAGAGGGCTAAAATAGTATTCAAGCATATTTTTAACGTTAATTTATTTTTATTTTTATTTTCTTACCTTTTTTCAATTTTCTTATACCTTGACAGAACTTCCCTGCCTGTCTGAATAACTGCTAATGAAGCCCCACACAGAGCCAAATAGATTACCTGAAAGTTCCAGCTTAATACAACAACAGATTAGTGGGAATAGTTCTCTATACGAATTCAACATTCAGCTTTAATTTAATTTAAAAATGGTCTCGTATCCAGTTTACAAATGAATACTCATACGACCGATTTTAACAAATTCGTTTTATTTCCATTCAAACATTAAAGGGGAAATTCGTCATTTAAATATTTATATATACATATATATCTTTGTAAGTCACTCAAGGCACTTCAGCTGTATAGTATGAAATGCAGCCAGAAACCGTTTGAAGCATAAATCAGTCCATAAACCAATCCATAGAGTGGACTTAGACACTGTGGGGAGTCAGGTCATATGTGACAGTGGTGCTGATATGGGACCGTGTGTAGGTGAATGGGCCACTTACGTCATCAAAGACCCTGAATTAAAAAAGAAAGCGATCCTGTTTTATCTAAAATGCTCTGAAAGTTACTTTTTACATCGTCTGTTTTCAGCACGTCCTTCTGCTTATCCAGTAAACACGCACCGTCAGCTGAGACTGGAACAGACGAAGCTGCTGAGGTGCCTCCTGTGACCTGATGTCCGGACTCTGAGTCTCTCTCCTGAGGAGAAACTCGCGGTGAAACGAAGCTGAGCAACCACAGTGAAAGTCTCCGGCTCCCTGCACTCTGAAAGCTCCAAATTCCTGAGAACGAAAACACTTGAAAAAAACAAACAAACAAAAACGGCGAAATCTTCAGACCTGAGAGTCTCTGCGCGCGCGCCTCCGTCACTTCTCCAGATCGCGCGCTTTCAGCTGTCCGTACTGCAGGCCGATGAAGGGCGGGAAGGCGACAGGGTGGAAGAGCGCGGGGGACGCCGAGAACGGGGAGCCCAGGCCGAGCGGGGCTCGCGACGGAGGACAGGGACTGCTGCTGCGCGGGAAAATGGCGGAGAGCGCGGGCAGAACGGCGGGCGCGTGCGCGGCGGAGAGGCGAGGGAAGGTGAACGGACACGCGTCCAGGCCCGGCAAGGGCACGCAGGGCGCGAGCGCGCCGCCGCCGCCGCCGCCACACGGGCCGCACGTGCCGCACCCAAAGCCGAGGAAGGCGGCCGCGCGCTCGTCGAAAATGTTCGTGCGCCGGCAGTGCTGGCGCTTGAAGCGCTTGCGGCGCCGCAGGAAACTGCCGTTGTCGAACATGTCGGCCGAGTTGGGGTCCAGCGTCCAGTAGTTGCCCTTGCCCGGGTTGCCCGGCTCGCGCGGCATCTTCACGAAGCAGTCGTTGAGCGACAGGTTGTGGCGGATGGAGTTCTGCCACGCGGGGAACTTCTCGCGGTAGTACGGGAAGCGGCGGCTGATGAAGTCGCAGATCTCGCTTAGCGTAAGCCGCTTCTTGGGGCTCTGCAGAATGGCCATGGTGATGAGCGCGATGTACGAGTACGGCGGCTTCACTGAGCCGCTTTTACTGCCCGGAGCTGCGGGCCGCGCGCCCGCCGCGCCTCCCCCGCTCTCTCCCGTCTCCAGAGACAGAGAGCTCGAGCCCGAGCCTGGCAGCAACAGCTTGGCGTCCGCGCCCGGTAACACCGACACGGGCTCGTCCCCAGAGTCCCTGCTGCCCTCGCCTACCACGTCGATGACCAGCTCGTCCATTAAATCCGTGTCCAGGGTCATAGCGGCGCGCGAGCGCTGAGCGGCAGGTGAGGATCCGCGACGAGGAGAAACTTTAAACCTCGGGAGACGCGGAGACTCTCCGGGTCACCAGCGGAGAGCAAAACAGGAGGAAAAGTATCCGAGACGCTCAGACGGGCCTTAACTGGCTCTCAGCTCGGATTCAGTGAGTTGATTCTCTTCAGAGTCGAGCTGGTTCCGCTGCATTGTTCGGCCTCAGCGCGCTGACGGGCTCCTCCGCCGCGTCTCCACAGCAACTGCAGCTGCGCTCCAGCTGCATCCCAGCGTGCGGGAGGGTCACGTGACGGTTACGTCACGGCGAAGCCCTTGCCAGAGAAAAGACGGAGCTCTAATGGATCAGGAGATTAATCTCAGATTGGAGCTCAGATCTGGAGAGAAGAGGAATCAAAAAGTTTGAGTTTAAAGCGAGCGTTTCAGACTGAGAGGACTGCAGTGCACCAGCGCTGTGGAGAGAGCTTCACTCTGAGGACAGTAACTCGTCTGTCTGTCTGTCTGTCTGTCTGATATCCGGCTGTGTGGTAGGACCGCACTAGAGTGATTTATTTATTTATTTATTTAAATAAATACATTAAACAACACACGCACACTGCACAACGCGCGCAGCCGTTGGACTGAAAAATGCTGCTTTGTTCGGTTGTTTACATTAGTGAAATAAAAACAGCACCTTTTTTCAAGTAATGGTCTGAAGTCTGAAGTGTAAATCTGCTCAATAAATGATACACATTCTAAAAAAGCCTCTGTCACACTGTTAAAACTAGACTGTACTGATTATCGTGCTGTGTTTTATTCGGTGTTTTCATTGATTTCATTACACGCAGATGTGTCGTCAATTTTAGTTTTAAATAACGTAAATTAATCGGTTGTTATTATTATTATTGTTATTATAAATAAGAATAATCATAATTATTATTATCATCAATAAGAATAATAATAATTATTATTAAGCTATTATTAATAATGCAATGATAATGCACGTAATGTAATACATTATGAACGCATTTCAATATTTTTAATAATAACATTATTATTCTTATTATTATTATTATTATTATTATTATTATTATTATTAAACACATTCTATCCTGTAAGTTGTTTCTAAGAGTATTGACTGATTATTATTATTTAGTCGAATGCATATTGATTTTAATGTGTCTGCATTGGTTATTGGTGATTTCCCTCTCAGTAATTAACGTGCGCGTCTTCCTGTTGCTGTAACAGTTGGTGGATTTTATCTGCGGTACGTCCTCAGTGTTTTACTGTGATTTAGCTGAACTGCTAAAGATGGCACACTGGGCTACATCAAGTAATATCCTGTTGCTGATTTATTTCAGCTTCACTGTTTTATAGATTATGACGGACTCAACTAAAGCATAACAGCAAACTTAGTTACGAGGTTCCCACCAATTTTGAGACACAGACCGGAAGTACACAGTAATCATAAACACGTAATAAACAGGTGTTCTATTAATCTGTTCATTCCTAATAAAAGACTGGATAGATGTGAGAGGCTGCATGAAAAGAAAGTGCAGTGTGTCTAGAACACAGTCTTAAAAGAGTTTGTTTCTCTGTTTAGGGTTCAGGATGTGTCATCTCATCATCATCATCATCATCATCAACATCTATCTCTCTGTCTCCGTCTCTGTCTGTCTGTCTGTCTCTCTCTTTCTCCGTCTCTCTGTCTCTGTCTTTCTCTCTCTCTGTCTCTCTGTCTCTTTCTCTCCCTCTCTCCCTCTCTCCCTCTCTCCCCCCCTCTCTCTGTCTCTGTCTCTCTCTCTCTCTCTCTCTCTGTCTCTGTCTCTAAACAGAGAGAAGAGGAGAAGAGGAGGAGCTGTAGAGAAGCTGATGTGTGTGGCAAGGAGCCTTCAACCTGCCAGGCTTATTGAACCAGCACGAGACATCTGCTAATACTATCAATTTACTGCAGTATAATAATAATAATAATAATAATAATAATAATAATAATAAAAATAATAACATCAGCGGAGTAAATAACATCATTAAATATAAATGAGAAATGAATCGAGAGGGTTTATAAATATTAACTATATCAGTGAACGTACTGTGGTCACCACAAAGACCAGAATAAATATCAATAAACAAAGACCAGAATAAATATCAATAACACTGACCCTCATTTTCTGGGCATTATAATAATGCGCTCAGTTTATTACATCATTTATTCATCATTTATTAGCACTGAAGGCAATGAATACATCAGCCCCGATCAGAAAACCACAACACACCATACACTCTTAACATAACGGGTTCAAAAGGTTCCCAAAGAAATATAATATAAAATTATATAAAATCTAATATTTTCTTCTACACCACTCAAAGGTTTTTCCCTAGAACTGCACGACAAAACCGAGAAACAATTAGGAACCGTTCTTGTTGAGAGTGCAGTCTACTGTTAACTATTATTTAAAAATATAAATCAAAGTGGAGACTACAGTCGAAATCACATTCATAAAGCGGATTGTTCTGGTAACTCCGTTTATACTCTCTCTCTCTCTCTCTCTCTCTCTCTCTCTCTCTCTCTCTCTCTCTCTCTCTCTCTCTCCTTTGTCTTTCTCAGGTTTCTCTCATTCATGCTCCTGAAGCCACAGGGATTGTTTTATAGGACACAGTCCGTTCCCTCTCGCCGCTCTGAGGTTTCCTGTGTGTTCAGTGTCCGGCACGTTCAGTCATCTGTGGTCAGTCCGGACATGGCTGTGCGGGATGTATTAGAATGACAGACGAAGAGATTATACTCACTGTTAAACTCTCAGACTGACGCTAGTAACAGAGTTAATGCTTTAATGCAGCCTGTTCACTTATTAATGTCACATCTGACCGTTTCTGTTAGTTAGTTTGTTCTCTGAGCTTCTCATCTTTCACACTGATCAAACCACGTGGCTAAAAGTGAGCTTTAATTTCTTAATTGATCAGATTGAGTTCTGTGTTTTGTTCACCAGGGGATTGAACAAAATAATAGAAACCTAAAATGTGTATGAATGTAGGAAAATGACGTAATAGAAATCATACAGATACTGTTATCTATATAGAATGATAGAAAATAACTGTAGACCTTCAGGCCAGTCAGGTTCCTGTAGCAGTTTGTCTTATTACACTAAATGTATTTCTGGGATGTAAATGGGTTTATGAACTCAGAAGGACGCACAGAAAAATACCCTATAAGTCCTTTATTAACCGAATCATCAATAAATCACAAACAGATTGCAATGATCAGCAGCGCCACTCTGGAGGAAATCCAGCCGTAGGCTGCACTGTGCAGGATCAGTAACTGATCATTTGCCTAAACTGTATTATCACTCAGTACAGCTTTCATCTGTTTGCCTCGATTTAAAAAACGTATTCATATTTCTGTTCAATAACTAAAAACTTTAAGGGGTTAACAGACTGTTACAGATTAACAGCAGCGTTATAATCAGAAACAGAATCAGACAAGGTTTTATTTGGTCTCTGACTTGGCTGTAGATCATTGTAAGAAAAATATTTACAGCTTCTACCGTTTTATTTATATGTATTATTGCAAAAGTTCAAGCAGTAATATATATATATATATATATATATATATATATATATATATATATATATATATATATATATATATACATACAATAATTAAATTAAACGAATCTGCTTCCAAGTTTATTTGGTATTTGGACGGATATGCCATCACCACACAGTGTACTGACGTTCACTCATGTCGATTTTACTTTTTTAATGAGGTGTCTTTTGTGTTTCTCCACTATCAGTGAACGCACACAGTGAGTAATAGCTAATTCGTTAAATGATTATTTTTTTCATTTTGTAAAAATCACCGTTTCCCTGACCAAATTCAGATTTACTTAAACAAACGGAGTTGAGCGCAAACCTGCGTAACTATCCACTGCTCCTTATTTCTTCTTTTGCTGTAAAGCGTTTTGTCCAGAAGAGGGCGCCCCGCACTCCTGCTGTTAAAAGGAGATTTCTTTTGCACAACTAATTTCAGTCTTCCGCCATCTGCTCCACTGGGGTTGAACGTCTTGTAATTAATGATTATGTTTGTAAATGTCTTTACCACGGCCAAACTTACCACCTGTTGATGGCTCAGTCCAGTGCTTTCTGCGTTCAACCCATTGAATCTGTGGGCAGTGTTTGGCAAAATACTTTAAAAAGTACTGAAGGCTGAATACTGAATAGACTGTCCTAAATGTATTCAGTAGCTAATTCCATTAGAATACTTTAAGAAATAATGTATTCAGAGTACATTTATAATACATTTATAATACAGCTTTGTAAGGCATATTGGAAAATATTTTTCACTTCACACCGTTCACACTAGTTGGCAACTTATTTCATGTAATTAATTTGTTAAGACAATTCATGAAAATTTTATTATAATTTAAATGAACTTCTGCAAATTCTCAACTTTTTTGTCTTTCATCGCCTGCTTCAGCCCACTGCTGCTCCCACAATGTCCAGTACAATACCAAAGCTAAGCTTATAACTGGCAGATATGTCCACTACTGAGGGCTTTATTAGTTTGATCATCCCCTCAAAAGAGCTCAGTAACACTGAGATTAATCACTGATCAACACACTGATTTATCAGTCTTCTCAGGCTTTAGCAGAGCTCAATAACACTGAGAATAATACCCGACCATAGCATTAGTCTACTCAGGGTTTAGCAGAGCTCAGTAACACTGAGTTTAATAACTGATCATCACAGTGATTTATCAGTCTACTCAGTCTTTAGCAGAGCTCAGTAACACTGAGGTTAATAACTGATCACATTGATTTATCAGTCTACTCAGGCTTTAGCAGAGCTCAGTAACACTGAGATTTGTAACTAATCATCACATTGATTTATCAGTCTACTCAGGAACTTCAGTGTTTGTAAAGAGGTGGTTATTTGAGGTCCTCTTTAGAGTTAATCTAATGAGCATGTTTGCTACATACCTTGCACTGATATAATATAGTTAATAAACAAGCATTGGTGGTGTTATCTTTTGAAGATTTTAGTTTTTTATTTGGTTGGTAAGTATTCTAAAAGTTTGCTTCTAAAAATGTAAAAAAGTAACTGTGTTCTGAATACTGCCTTTTCAGAACATAACTTGGACTAAATACAGATATTTAATA